GCAGGCTCCCTGCTGAGCAAGGAGCCTGATGTGGGACTCGATCCCAGGACCCTGGGATCATGACCTGAGCCGAAGGCGACACTTAACCGACTGAGCCACCCAGGCATCCCTCATAAGGGTCTTTTTAAAGAGCAACCAAAGACACATAAACTAAAACATGAAGCATGAATAGGTATTATTTTTGTAATAAAGTAAATATTTTGCATTTGATTTTAACAAATTAATATAAGCACGGAGCACAAAAAATGTGCTGCAATATGCACTATTTTTGTGTGCTGATCTCTAGAGGAGACTCATACAACACAGTGCTCCAGAATCGTAGCTATATCAAACAACTGACTCTAAATATTACGTGAGAAGTAAGAAAATATTAGCTAGGTATAAATGCTCACTTCCATCTAAGTAAAATAATTTTTAAAACTTATCTGGTGACAAAAGAAGATAGACAATATTTGGCTGTCAAGGCCAAGAAGGAATTAGCAATGAATTAAAATGACATCAGACAATTATCCAAATAGAATCTCTTCCTTTCTACTCATGCCCATTGTACAGTGAGGACTGGGGGCTGTTAGGGTAAGAGGCAAGCACACCGTTCTCATCAGCAGCACCAGCCCTGCTTACTTCCCACTGTGGCTGAGACAGCATGATCACCATTTTACAGACAAGGAAGCCAAGGCACAGACGTTACATATGTCTTCCAAAGTCACAGAAGTAGCAAGTAGCAGAGACAATTGTTAGTTTATGTCAAGTAATAGGATGTGAATATGGTATGAGAATAAATTCATGGCATGAATATATTCTTGAATAAATGTAAGGTTGGATAGATTGAAATAATTAAAGTTAAATATGCTATGGTTGGAAATTCAATACTTTTTTATTCTTTTTTTAAACTCTATAAAATTCTAAAAATTCTATCAAACCTAGAATTTCTAAAGAATTTAATATTAATTAGTAGCTGGGATATTTATGCTAAATCTCTTTCCAACAGAACAATGCATGGGTAAAGAGTGTTTAAAAATCCAATCCTGGCTCTGATTATTAAAAAGCCAAGTATTAAATTATTAATAATTATATTAAATTATTAAAAAGTCAAATGATTTTGCCTCTGACATCTTATCTTAGTGTCTTAGTGTTTCAACTACAAAACTAATGATTGTATGTTTAATAAGCTGAAAGAACACTAAATGTTTTTAAAGAACTTAATATCCAGAATGAAGAAATACATAAATAGCCATCTGATTTCATTTAAAGATCTTGGAGGATTTCTTTGACATTTAAAGAAAGCATGTAACGCTTAAAAATGGTAGAAATTTCCAGAACCTAATAAAACAAATCCTATCTCCCTTGTTAAAATGGCCCTAAGTAAATGAGATGTTTAACAAGAAGGAACAGTGCATACGAACACAATGCTCCCAAAGGACACGATGCTTTCAAAGCCATTTATAGTGACTTAAAAAAAAATCTCTGTGAAAAAATAAAGAAAAAAAATTTTCTTTATTTACAAAGAAAATAAAAAATGAAGACATTTAAAAGTGACACTTCATTCAGTAAAACTTGTTAATTGAAACGGAAAGGAAACAAGAAAGTACAACAGGCCTTAAGCATTAGAAAATGGACACACCCAGCTTCGACTATGCGATGACCTGTTGACTTATGATCTGCAGTGGCAGGAAATTAGGCAAGATATGCCATTAGGCTGCTATTCAGTAGTCACTTGGCTAGTAAGTAAGCCCAGTGGGTTGCTCAACACTGCTCTAATTTAATACATAATGGCACCGAATCCTTAAACAATCCTGGGAAGGGGGTTGGGATATATGCCGCCTATTTTACAGATAAGGAAAAAAAATACATGTAATTGTATATAAATTATATTTGATAAAAGAATAAATTGAAAAGGTAAAGAATCTTCTTAAATATTAGAGGTCTCCTATACCTTAAATTATTAATTATTTTTTAGTTAGCTTCTGATAATATTTTTACTAGAAGAATAGCTAATTTGAAAAAAAGAAGTTACTCTGGATGAGGCACAATTCTGAACAACCTGATAAAAAGATAATGATGACTGCTGGTGTGTCTTAGGTCACCTTCTGAGTAAGTGTAAAGTGGCCTCATCTTACCTGAACCACCGAGGAATTGAGGTACTCTGCACACACCCCTAAGGGCTGCACCAATGCTGAGACTGCCTGAAAACAAGGACAGTGCAAGTTAGACATCAATGCGAGAGGGTTTTTTCCTTTCGGCATTTAACAAATCGCTTTTAATATATCAGAGACAATTTGAAATGTCTTGATCAAGTCATGAATGAATGACTAGACAAACCACTCTCCTGGATAGGAAGAACTGATATAAAGATGTCAATCCATTTAAACTGTTATAGAGATTTAATGTAATTTAAATCATAATATGCCAATAAAACTTTGGAGGACTGGATGAAAGATTTTTAAAGTTCATATCACAGAATACTAAAAATTTTTATTTGAAAAAGGACAGAATAGTTGAAGAAATGTGTCTTCAACAAAAATCATCAAAAACTTCCATGAAGAAAATTATAAACCTTTACCAAAATACATAAAAGAAGGCCCAAATAAACAAGGAGATACCATGTTCTTGGATGGAAAGGACCAGTACTGCAATTTTCCACACACTGACTTATACATTTAACACAATTCCAAACATGATCTCAGTGGGATTTTCTGCAGGACAACCTGACGTGTTGACTATATTCAAAGAGTCAAACTATGAGAATGATCAAGAGAATCTGAGAGAGGAACAATGCTGGGCAGACTGGCGCTACCAGTGAAAACAGGGGAGCAACAGTATACAAATGGGCAAAGAATGAACAGACGAATGAATGACTCGAACAGAAGTCTAGGAACACACCTGTGGACATGTGGGGCTTTGACATGTGATAGAGACAACACATCAAAATAGTAGAGAAAACAGGGATTAGTCATTAGAGGATCTTGTAACAGTTATCCATTTGGAAGAAAATGAAACTGGATCTCTACCTTATGTAATATATAAAAAGAAATTCTAAATGAATTCAAGAACTAGGTATAAAAAATAAAACTGTAAAAGTATAAAATGAAAGGAGTATTTTTATAACTTTGAGATGGGAGAACATTCCCTAAGCAAGTTAGGAAACTCTTAAGCCATTAAAGAAAAAAATCTACACAAGACGTGGAAGCTTCTGTATAGCAAAAGACACCATCAACAAAAATAAAAAGAGAAGCAAAAGACTGGAAGAAAAAATTTACAAGTACATAAAGCAGACATGGCACTTGATATGCTGAACATAAAAAGAATTCCTGAAAGTTAGCAAGACAACTCCAAAGTAACCTAAATAACTAGGTCAATTTACAGAAGAAAGGCAAATAGCCAATAATCACATGATGAAATGCTCAAATTCCCAGGAAACCAGAGTCTTACAAATTAAATAATAAAATGCTATTTTTGTCCATTATAATGAAAAAATTAAAGATGGAAAATATTCAGTACTAACAAGAGAAATAGGAAAGGAGTTTATGGGAGTACAGACTGGTACAAGCTTTTTGGAAAGAGATTTAATACTATTGATTATAATTTAAGAATCTATATAGTCTTTAACCCAGAAATCCCGTTTTCTAAGAATCTGTCCTTCAGAAATGGTAGCATATGCACAAAGACAAATTTATATGGGAAACTCTCTGAAGAGCAAAAACTTAGAAATAATCCAATGCCCATTAAAAAATGACGGCATCAGGGTACAACAGGTGCAGGAACAGGTGAGAGCCATTAAAAACGATGATCGTGCTGACCTGGAAAGATGTCCATGATAGACTGTTAAATGAAAATATGCTACTGGGTATAGCTTGATTACAATTCAGTTTTAAAGAGAGAAAGAGAAAGAGGGAAAGATCATGCACAGGTATATTTTACATAAATTTAGGAAAAAGTCAGAAAGGCACTGCATTAAATGGGTAGCTATTATCTAGGAGGTGGGTATACGTGCGTGGGGGTGGGGGACAGGCAACTTTCATTCCATACTTTGTACAGGTATTTTTCACTGATGAATTGTGAATGATGTTTTTTCCCAGTATTTTTCAAATTCAAAACTACGTAGATATAAATGTAAATGTAAAATGAATGCATTTACTTGTACTCAGTGGCCTGAATTTATTCTAGGACATAATCACCTCCTTAACTGGTCAGAAGGCAGGCATTTATTTTGAAATTTTAATCATGCCTGTTGGCTATAATTAGAGTCTCAATCTTTGGGAATCTTTCTCCTATGCCTGAACTTTATCATCTCCTCAAATACAACCTAAACAACATAATTCTGTATCAACTGCAGCAACAACATGGTTGCTCTGAAAAATGGGGAAAATCCTGGAGGTATCTTTAACCTCAAGATATTTGATAATAACGAGAGTAAGCCCAGATTCCTATATATCCACCCTTAGCCAATTTCTTCCAAGTAGGCTAGAAACTTGGGATGCTCTGTATTTTTTTTTTTTTTAAATAAATTAACTCTGCCAGAATTAGTGAGTGTTTTAACATTTAAAAAAAAGTGAAGCTAATCTTTGACATGGCCAATGACCTATACAGCCAGTTCTTGAGAAACAAGTAAACTGGATAAAACCCTATACCTGAATAGATTTTTTGTTTTAAAAGCTTTGTTTCTTAAATCACTACTCGTTATTTTCCCAGTCAAGTCACTTCTAACATGCTCGATCCATTCATCGGGGATCCAAATGACAGCCTAACAACCTAGTTCATGTCAGGGAAGGTAGAAGACACTCCCTGGTCAGTGTCAGCAGAAATATTTATGAACTGGCAGACACCTGATCTTTCAGGATGAACAGTGGCAAGAAAGGGTCAGTCTCTCTCCTCAGTGTTATTCCTGCCCAAACCCAAAGATGGACCAAGGGGGTCAGCTGATTAGCCACAGTTCCTCAGGGATAACTGCTGCTCACTCGGGCAACAGATTACCTTCTGTTCTGATCACATCACAGTAGCCAGCACTGGGCCTTATACATGGCAAGTACATTATGAGTAGTTGACTGAATAATTAACTAGAAAACAGAACAAAGTGCTCTGAGTTACAAACAGGTCAGCACTCTGCGAAAGATTAAAGACTGAGTTATTTCCCCCTTACCACAAGGTTAAACTTTTTTTGAGAAAAATGAAGTCACATAAAAAGAGAAGGGTATTGCACCTGAGGGAAGAGTCTAAGCTCCTGTTAGAGCTCTTTGTTATCTATGCATCGCTGTAACACCAAAAAGCTTACTAACAACCTTAAAATGAAACATTTTATTTGTGCCTGGCACTGGGAACTACACTGTGATGTGAACCATGACACTGTTATGTACACATGCACTTGCCACAGACGACACCTGTCCTTAAAAAGCAAGGTAATTTCACATAACCCTCACAAATGAAGAGACAAATACCAGAGGCAAAGGGAAATGAAGTAAAAAAGAACAAACACCCTCCACTGAAACTGGGTTACAATTAGAGGCGAATATTTCTTGGGTTATCAGAACCGCTGAAGCTGCTCCCACAGAGATATCTCACACGGTAACGTTTCCCTTACTGTGTCCAGACCATGTCCCTTTGGTTACATACCAGCCTGAATAAAGTGAACTTCCACTTTGGGCACATTTAGTGGTTTAACTTACCCCAAGTTCTATATCTTCTGAATGAAGCTTGGCTTGGATTGCTGCAAATCCACCTAATTCTCCAAACTGAGGGGGAAAAAAAGGCACAAATTAGTTTTAAAATGCTGTACATCAATAATTTAAGCAAAAAACGAAGGCCACCATTCTACCCTATCAACATGCTCCATATAATACTGATCTTGAGAGAGTCATCCCCAAAGATCATTCTAATGTTCTGTGATACACTGCAGGAGATGTGCTGAGTCCTAAAGCTGACGTTCATCTGTATCAACCGCATGTATGAAAAAGAGGAAGAACTATGGAATCTACCTCCTTAGGAAACAAAATTCTTATTACTCTCTCTAGCTGTCATTTACTTAAAATACCAAACTCTAGGCAATCTCATTAGAAGAAGGAAAACATGACCGTATTAATGAAAGTTGTATACCTTATTTACCAAATCCACAACCCATCCATGAGGCTCCTGTGAGAAAAGAAAACAGAAACTGAGATGGCAAGATGAGAACTTCCCCATTAACCCTTGTATTTCTTTCAACCTCAGTCAAAAGTTAGAGAAAAAATATATGAAGATTTGAAAAATATTCCAAAGGGCTTTTCTACATGTTTCTCAACAGGAGTCTGGGCCATTACTGTGTACAACTGGAGTTTGCACGTCTGTGCTTGGACGGTACTGCTCCAGTTGCGCATTCGTGCACTTCTGTGTCGCTGACAGCAGCTGTTCAAGCTCTCCAAGGTGCAGGATAACTTGAGTTAAATTCTCTAAGAAAATTACATTTTAGAAATTAAGAATTCCTAACCTAAGGAGTAGCAGATCCCGAATAAAGAGGTTAAGTTTCAGTCCCAGCTGTCCCACTAATTGGTGCCCTGGAGCACACACTTTCTTTTCCCTGCTTTCCCTCCTTGCTTTCCTTTTCGAAGCCTTCACCGCTGCGAGGGCTGGATACCACTGTGGGGGAGCAGTGACTATCAGGAGACGTGGTCCCTGCTTTCATGGAGCTCATACTGTAGCAGTGTCCACAAAAACAAGTAAACCAACACATACCTAACACAACTCATTCTGGGCTCAAACCCACAGAAGGAAAAACCAAATGAGAAACGGAAGGAGCCTACTCTGCTCAGAGTGGCGGTCATGGAAACCCTCTCTGGAGAAGGGGTCTTCGAGCTGGATCCTACAGGATGTGAGTGATTTAGCCATTCAAGAAGTCCAGGCAGAGAGGCCGCAGTGGCAAAGGTCCCGTTTGGGCAAGGCCGTGAAGAGGAACTGGGACTCTCCCAGCTGGGACACAGTGGGCCGGGGAGAGCGGCACAGGTGGAGCTGTTCAGAGAGGCAAACCCAGATCACGCGGAAACATGGAGACTGGGATTGGAAGGAAAGCAAAAGTGTTTAAACCAGAAAGTGACACCTTTTATGTCGTAAGCTGACCAATCTCACAGTTGTGTGGTGGATGGAGTGGAATGGATGAAGGCGGGTGGAAGGGAGAGACCGCACGCAGTTGGAAGACAAGCACAGTAACCAGGTTAAGACGTGATGGTGTCACGGGTAGGATGGCGGTGGCAGACAGAGAGAACTGAACAACCTTTGAGATGAACTCCAAGGACATGTTTATGGTTGGAGGTAGGTCAGAAGGGATGAATCGTGGTGGACTCCTGTGCGTCTGGTTTGAGCACCTAGGTAGATGGGGAGGCTGTTTACCGGCGGGAAGAAGGAAGGCTAGGGAGACAGAAGGAAGCTCCATTTCAGGCACCCTACATTTGAGACGTCTGTGTAGCAACCAAAAGGAAAACAGTTGGCTCTTCAAGTCTGGTGTGCTCAGAGAAGATGCTTGGGCCACAGAGATACACACTGAAGGGCCATGAACACAAAGATGGCATTTACATCCATGAGAATGGAAGACAGTTCTTAGGGAAAGAATAATGAACAAAGAGAAGGTGGCTCTGGGTCAAAGCTGAATGAAGGTGAAGGAATCAAGGAAGGCAATGTGATGACTTATGGAGTAGGCAGAGAAGCAAGAGACTACAGGAAGAACTGAGTTGGGGGAGGCAGGAACTCACAGTGATTGCCGCTGTTGATGAGGTCAAGAGACACTTCCTGTGGCTCTGGAAACATGGAGACTGTTGGTACCTTACTGAGAGTGGTTTCAGGGGAGTGGTAGAAAAAGAAGGCAGACTGGCACGCTCTGAAGAGTTCACGGAGATTTCGGTCTAGTTACCCTAAACACCTCTCTAACTGAAGAGCACTAACACCACCGGTCAAAAACACTAAAAAAATCTTTTAAAACATATAGCTGAGTTGGCACAAAGTGCTCAGAAGCTGAAAACAAAGAGAAAGCAGAAATTGTGTGAGGTAAGCAGACTCTGAGGCCAGCCTTCACAGCACAGGCTGTGGAACCCCAGTGAGCTCTGGCCTCCATTTTCACAGCCAAGGCGGGGCCAGGAGACTAAGAGGAGAGAGTCACATAAAGCTGGAGCTCAAAGAGCTACCACCTCAGTGTGAGATGAACTGAAAGAACTCACCTGCAAGAAAGGGAGAACCACAGGGAAGCCTGCCCACCTTGACTCTGATCCTGGATGGAGGGGAGAAAAAACTCTCTTAAAAGAGAGTCTGTAACCATAGACATGCCTCACATGGCTTCGCTTCTCAAATTCACACTGACTTTGGGGCGCTGGGTGGCTCAGAAGGTTGGCCAGCCAACTCTTGGTTTTGGCTCAGGTCATGATCTCAGGGTGGTGAGATCGAGCCCCAGGTCAGGTTCCAGTGTGGAGTCTGCTTGAGATCCTCTCTCTCCTTCTCCCCCCGCTCACACACTCTCTCTCTGTCTCTAGAATAAATAAATAGGGTTCCTGGGTGGCTCAGTAGGTTAAGGGTCTGCCTTTGGCTCAGGTCATGATCCCAGGGTCTTGGGATCGAGTCCCACATTGGGCTCCCTGTTCAGCCTGGAGTCTGCTTCTCCTTCTACCTCTACCTGCCCCCTGCTTGTGCTCTCTCTCTCTCTCAAAATAAATAAAATCTTAAAAAAAAAAAAAAAAGAATAAATAAATAAATCTTTTAAAAAAAATGCACACTGACTTTATGGTCTGAAATACCTTAAGCTGAGAATTTATTCTAAAGTGGTCCCAGATGGAAGTGCTCCCAGGCACCTGGAGGAAGTAAAGGTAAACCCTCTCTGAAGGAAGGAACTTTCAATGCAGGCCTCAAACAATCCTCCCAGATTAAATTTCAAGAAATACGACTTTACAGAAAAACAAACAACAAACATATATATACATATATTTTTGTATATACAATACAGACACAAAAAACAAGTTATAGTAAAAGCCAGCAGAATCAGACCTGTAGATATCAGACACAGAACACAAACACAGGAGAATGAAAACATGAGGCAGGAACATGCGATAATAAAAAGAATAAACAAAGTCAAATGAGAACCAAATAGAATTTATATAAATGAAGAAAAGTCACTGAAATTGAAGACTTTTAACAAACAGGCTAGACAGCATACCTGATATGCCCAGAACCACAATTAGTGAACTAAACCCCAGATCTGAAAGAAATTATCACAGCCTGCAGCACAAGGACACGGGAAGATGGGAAATATGACAGAAGTTAAGGGACAAGGAGGACAGACGCAAAGGTTTAACAGGCGTCCAATCGAAGTTCTGAAGAGGAGTAACTGACTAGCGGAGAAGAGGAAAGATAATGGCTGAGACTTTTCCAGAACTGATACAAGATATTAATCCTCAGATTTAGAAGCCCAGTGAATCTGAAGCAAAATAAATAAAATGAATACCACGGTCACAGGAGAGTCACACCGTCAAATATCAAAGAGAATGAGATCTCCAAAATAAGATGGGACTCCTTACAACAGCAGCAACAGTCAGACCAACCACCAACTTCTCAACAGCAGTAATCAAAGCCAAAAGACACTGACATAGTATCTCTGACATTCTGAAAGTGTATCAGTCAATCTAGAATTTAAAACCCAGTGAAAATATTCTCTGAGGCATGGGAAACAAAGTAAATTTCAGGCGATCAAAAACAAAGACTTAACCACCAATGATGGGCCCTTACTAAGAGACACTTTCAAGGATGCACTGCAGAAAGAAAAAAAATGATCCCAGTACATACATATGGCTAAGTTAAATGAGACAGTACATACATATGGCTAAGTTAAAACACCATATAAAAGAACAATGATGATATCTGTTTGAGGGTAAAGCAAGACGGGAGAGGACTGAGACACTGCATGATAAAGACAAGGGGACAGAGAGTTAGTAAGTCAGGTGGGGAGTGGGCACATGAAACATTCCAAGGTTTTTATGTGCTGCTCAGAGGAGGATAAAGATTATTAATGAAATTTTGATTTCATTTACTTACGTTACAGTTCCGGGGTAACCAGTAACAGAGTAAGTGGGAGGGGAGAAAGGCGGAATCTTCTCTGGTAGGGATGTGGAGGGGCAGAGAACCATGCTGAAGCTAGAGAGGGACATGGGATCAAAGGCAGAATTTTTAAAGATGGGAAAGACTAGAGCACGACGTACACAACGGGAATGCTCCGACAGAGAGGAAAAGACTGAGGATACCGAACAAAGGACGGAAAACCTAAGGAGGAAAATGCTTGAGAAGGCAAGAAGGGGATGATCGCAGGCCTCTGCAGGAGGGCGCATTCCCGTGCAGTGCTGAGAGGAAATACACAGACTGACCCTTTCTGGTCCTGGATGTCACGTGTGCAGACTGAGGGGAAGAGAAGGGACATTTGTGGAGTGCTTACAATAGCGAACCCCCAGGGTTAGTGTTTCTGTATACAGTTGTCATCCAACCTTCACAACAAAACCAAAGACGAGGTTTTTAATATTTTGGGAGGCAAGACCGTAGATATTTATAGATGCAGACGATGAGGCTGGATTACATGGGTTCTTCCTGTGACTAGGTTTGTGGACTCGGGCAAGGGCTCAACTCCTGTGTGCCTCAGTTTCTCGTCCATGAAATGGGATCAAAAATAGTACCTCACTCATGGAGTTGTTGTGGGGATCAAACGCCAGCGTCTTCTCAGTGCCCTTTCCACTCGGCCCTCATTCCCTCCTCTCTGGAGGACTGCCTGGCCCCCCCAGACAGCACCGGCCACCCCCTCCTGCAGGCCACGTTGCTGCGACTACAGGTACTGTTTGTGGCACCTTAAGTTTTTGTTTTCACATTTCCTCCAGTAGCTCTAAGTCAGGAGCCATGGCTTAGTATTCTTTATAGGACTGCTGAACTAAAACTTCTGCTTCGACTAAAGCAATGGGTAAGTTTTCTATCTACTCAATCGACTCCTTTCAATGGTTTCTCAAAAACCAGAGTTTGATCAACAGATGTTTAGATTACGTACTCCTTGTGGGTATAATGTTATTGGGCACACTGTAGGCCTTTAAATATAAAATAAAGATAATTGGTTCTTGGCTTGGAAAAAAACCCAAAGCTTTAATGCTTCTGGAGTTTAAAAGAAAATAATACATGAGACTACTTTCTAGATTATTTTTTCTAGGCATAATTAGCCATTTCAAATGGTTTCAAATGCTCTAGCTTGTCAAACATCTCTGAGAAACTGGGACACCCATTAAACTGGGGTTCTGACAATTCAATAAATAGGGCACTGATGTCATGAGGTCATTCCACATTTCACTAAACATCATTTCAAATCTATAAAATTCTTTATGATGTTGGTTAATAGCTGTGGAAAAATATGCAGTATCTGAAAAAAAAGTTAAGCAATTTTATGAGCCATATGGAATATCTGTCATTTTTCACAGACTGTTTTAATCCTTCCACGTAAATTTTTACAGCACAAAAAATCTTTTTCAATACATTTCTCTATAAAATGACGAAACAAGACCCCGTTTACCTTTTGGAAAGTAGACACAGGTGAAACAGCAAACATATTTCCCTCCCCAAACACTTCTGTCCAATTCCTCTGAGACACTTTCATTCTGTTTTTAAAGTGGTATTCATTATCAGGATTGAAAGCCTAGATTCAAAGAGAACAGAGAAACACTATTATTATCTATTTCTATAGCAACAAATATTAGCATTAGAAAAGATGAAAAAATATAGCCTTGGACTCCTTCGGTAATGGAATCTTTCAAATATCCCAACAGCGTGTACCCCTGAGCTAGGGCAGAGGAGCGGGTGAGTGAGGCAGAGCTCTCCTCTCCTGTCCAGTGGCCGCCAGGAGGGAATGCAGGGCACATGGCCAGGTGTCCCGAGCTGCTGCAGGTACGGCCAGGCAGCAGGGCCGTAAAGGCCCCTTCCTCACACAGCTACTGGGACTAGTCAGGGAAAAAGGCTAGAAACCAAATCGCAAGAGCACCCCATGTGAAAGCATTTATGATGTGAATAATCAGGAAGACATGAGGGAAAGCAATTTAATTATTGTAAGAGCTGAGAAAGCTATTAAAATTAGAAAGGTATTTTGTTAAAACTGAGAACACAGAATGAATGGTTGCTCTGCTTTAAAAATAAAAAGCAAGGTCCCTAACAGCTAAATTAGTATCTTTTACAATATCATTATCACTCATTATTAATTACAAGTCAGAGGACAGTCGGTACTTTAAACAAAATCAAAACACAAAGTACTTCATTTTAGAGATACTCTACCATCGTAAGCACACCCAGGAGACCAGTGGGAATCGGATCTTGTTTAATTCTCTCTGCAACCAGTTCTATTAACAGCATCAACATGTTGTAGATTCCTTCATGAATTTCAGTACCCCACTTGTGAACAGCACTCGAAGTCAGGAGCTACAAAAACAAAGGGCACTTTAGAGTCTAACTTGAAAAGAAAAAGTCTATTGTTTATCAGCTCAATCTTGAATAATCAAGAGATGATTACCATAGTATCACTTTTATGCAGATGACTTGCTTTAAAAGGCCTATAGCCTGCAGCCCATGTACTCACTCAATGATTTCACAGTCAACATTGAGTTTTGTTTTTAAACGTTAATTCCCTTACACTGAAGCAGTTGGTTTAAAAGAAAATTTTCATTTGCTTCTCTACTTTTCGTTATTACTTGGGGAGGTCAAGTGGTGTAGAGCAAGGAAGAACCTGAGACCAAATCCTGGAGCTATTACTGCTTTATAGCTGTATGGCCTCGGACAAAAAATTACCCGAGTTCCCAGGGGCTCAGATGTCTCACGTCTAAAGAGGCAAAATTCCTACCCACTTCACATAGATGTGATGAGTATCAAAAGATAAAACAAATGTGAAAGTGTTTTATAAATAGCAAGGTATTATTATTAACATATTATGGCTGTCACTATTAACCAATGTTCCTAGAATCTAAGAAATGTACGCTATCTTTCATGATTTGAACATACATATTCCTGCTGTATTTTTAATATCTCAGAAACAGGACCGCATCTTTCCACCTGTTGACCAGATGGCAACGGGACTCTGAATGTGAAACAAATTTTAGAAATACTTTACCAGATTCTTTTGCTTCGATTCTCCTTTTTGATATGTATAGAAGTAACATTCAATTTTAAAAAATGTTTAAGCAAATCTAAAAGAGCTCTAAGTGATAAGGCATTGTAACATTTTGCAGCTATTTTTCTTTAATATAAAACATAAAACAGGGCGCCTGGGTGGCTCAGTTGGTTAAGCGACTGCCTTCAGCTCAGGTCATGATCCTGGAGTCCCAGGATCGAGTCCCGCATCGGGCTCCCTGCTCAGCAGGGGGTATGCTTCTCCCTCTGACCCTCCCCCCTCTCATGCTCTCTCTATCTCATTCTCTCTCTCAAATAAATAAATAAAATCTTTAAAAAAAAAAAAAGAAAAAAAACATAAAACATATAACAATGGTGCATCTTACACTCAGCATCTTAAGACTCATTAAAAGGGAGGGAAAAGGCGCATAGATGAATCTAAAATAATCATCAGTGGATTCTCCAAGCCTCAGTCTAGTCCTTGGGGAAATCTAATGCAGGAACAACTTGCGGGAACGGGGAATGAGAAATCAAAGGGTTTCACTTAATAAAATGATGGCAAGTTGGTATGGTGGTATCATGTTTTTATAAGATTTCCCTTCAGAAGGAAAATACTATGCAATAAAAATTCCATCTTGGTCACACTGAGAACCCCTTAACAAGAGCAGCCTGAAAGAGCCCAAACTTCTTTAGCTACAGAGAAAAACCCCAGTTCCAGATTTTCTAAATACCAAATAGCTGCACTATTTGCGCAAACGAGCAATAATCTTAAGACTGATTTTATATAAACCAATGAGTTACTTTTTTTTTTTGCAAGAATTTTTTGCCTGCCTCTATCTTCTTCCTATACTTAAATAATAAAGCAAAAGGAAGCAGACAGGCATTCGAGAAGGGTCATGTGACTATAAAATAAAATGTATGTGGATTTAGCACCACTCCCTCTGTTGCCATCTCATTTGCTCAGTTTTGAATGTGGACAGGGAAGTCTACCTACCTTGCAGAAGACGAGGGAAAGACAGGCAGCCCTTTGTGGGGAAGCTATGCTCAAGGTTCAAACATAACTATGCCCTACGGCCAGACCTAGATTTCCTTTCCTGCTTGAACACACAGTCAAGAATCCAGGCCAGCCTGAAGGTAAGAGGTGAAGAAGGCAGACATGACAACAGAGCCTCTGTGGTGCGCCTTATTCATACAGTTGTGTATTACTTACACCCTTCCTTCTAATGAAACATTTGAGGTGTCTTGCAAGAAAAGTCAAGGGAAGAGGGCAGAGGGATAGTCATCGTACCAGGAAACAGAGCTAAGGGAAATGATACCAGTTATATAAAATACAACTGAGATTTCTGGTAGCCAGGTCTAAAGGCACACAGAATTCTGTAAATTAAATTCTGATTTAATTAAAAACAAGCATGCTTTACTGATGCGGAGGAGAACCTTTTTAATAGCTCTAAACTGTAAAGAGAATTTAACACATACAGTTTTACATAAGCAACACTGAACAATATAACAGAGGGTACCCTTGTGCTTGTAGTTTCGCAGAAAAAAACAACAAAGCAACCAACCACTGGACCATTTATTACACTATTACAAACAGCTGAGGACATAATATAAAACTGTTTTCTGAAGTGTCTCTGCACAGTAATATATTCCAAATATGTAACCTGTTGGTGACCTGCATTGACACAGGGCTCTCTGGATCTGGAGACCATCAACCTAAAGGTCCTTACACTGATAAATCCTTTTCCATGACTCTGAATAAAGTTGCGTTTTCTTTCTCTGTAAATTTATACATACAACATAATGCATCACAGTATGTGACATTATAAAAACTCTATTTTTTAAAAAATTACTATAATTCTCAGAATTCGTAAAGTTTAAAATAATTTTAAATGATAAATTGGTAGATGAATTTATCCAAAATGAACATAAGTCTTGAATCCATATAATCTCTGCCCAAATGACAATTTTAATTTCGCACTTTTTTCAAAGATGCAGCTGTTTTTGTTCCTAAAATTAATTTTGGTATTTTTTGAGCCTTGAATCAAGGGAGATTCTATCAAGATGTAGATGGGAATAATAGTTTACAAATGAGCAGTTTATTTTGCTGGGTTTTAAGATAAATACAATCTTCGGGCGCCTGGGTGGCTCAGTCGTTAAGCGTCTGCCTTCGGCTCAGGTCATGGTCCCAGGGTCCTGGGATCGAGTCCCACATCGGGCTCCCTGCTCC